GAATAAACTCTGACGTAGTGAGTGTTTCTGCTGTCGTTCTCCATTTTCGCTTTTGAGATTGCCAAGAAACAACGTACAGTGCCTGACAAAAGTCCTGTTGCATAAGGACATAGTAACTAAAAATAGCATATAACTTTATTTCTAACCAATCAATTGTTACAATAAATGGTCCATTTTAATGTCAAGGGCTTTCACATTAATAATTTGGTGCAAAATGAAACTGTCAAAAAGTGTTCTGATGTTCACAGCTTGGCTAAGCCCATAACATCTGTTTTTGCTGGGACAAAAGTCTTGTCATCTCTTCAGATGATGCAACAAATCGCAGATTAGAGTTTAACCTATGACAAATACTGTAATTGACACATTCCCAGATGTGTATAGAAATAACCCCAGCACACCAGACTTTCATGTGAGGTGCGACTAGACCTCTGACAACATACCAAAGATTCAACCACAGACCAAAGTGCTGATCATCAAGAGCCTGAAGACTGAGTCTGCTGCTGAGGTGGCAGACATCTTTAATGTATCCAAATGTCAAGTGGAGGGGATGAGAAAAAGATTTGAAGAAACTGGTGTCGTTCATGGCAAGCGCAGGTCAGACAGACCCCGGTATGACAACTGTTTGAAAGGACCGTTTGTTGCTTCAACTGTACAAGGCCAGCCCTTCTTCAACTACAGCGAAGCTACATGAGGAAATGTCACCAAAAATCCCGGTATCTACAAGAAGAGTTTGTCAAATTCTCTCTCAAAGTGGTTTTCATAGTCGAATTAGTGCACAGAAGCCTGCATTAAACAGAAAACATAAAACCTGCATTGCATTTGCCAAGGTCCTCAGCTCACAGAAAGGATTGATACTGGAAAAGTGGCTGAAAGTTTATTTTTCTGGTGAATCATCCATTGAACTGCATCCCAGTCGCCGTACAAGACCTGTTGGAACCCTCATGGACCCAAGATTCTCCCAGAAAACAATCATGTTTGGTGGAGGAAAAATCATGGTTTGTTGTTACATCCAGTGTGGGGGTGTGAGAAAGATCTGCAGAGTGGATGGCAAGATCAACAGCCTGAAATATCAAGAAGTTCTTGCTGCCCTACTTATACTGCTGCTCCTTCTCATACTTCTGCCTCCATGTCACAGTTCCTGAAAGCAAAGAAGGTGAAGGTACTCCAGGATTGGCCAACCCAGTCACCTGACATGAACAATTATTGAGCATTTCAGGGGTAAGATGAAGGAGGAGGCTTGGAAGATGAAACCATAGAATCTTGATGAACTCTGGGAGTCCTGCAAGACTGCTTTCTTTGCCATTCCAGATGATTTCATCATCGAGTTATTTCAGTCATTGCCAAGACGTATGGATGCAGTCCTCCAAGCTCATGGGAGTCATACGCAATATTAATTATTTTTTCCAAGGCACCATGACTTTATGTTCTGATATTATAGTGGCATATTTGTGTATTCAAATTAAAGTGTTTGTATAATTTCCACATTTTTTTTCAATGCGACAAGACTTTTGTCCAAGCAAAATCTGACCGTTCTGTACAAATTAAATTATAAAACTCAATGAATGACACAAAACTCTATTTTGGCATATTTTGCATAATCTAGAGGGCTTTGCCTTTCATATAAGCCATTTTTGATTCCACTTGATCAACTACAAGTCAGGTTATTATTTGTTGTTCCAACAACTTGGATAAGTGAAAACACTTTTGTCCGGCACTGTATGTACGTGTTTATCTGACAAACGTATGCACGCACGACATTGCCTCCGTAGTGTTGTTTAGTTGCTCTCAACCGCTTGAGGGAAACATATGGAAACGCACTTAATTCGCATTTCATTTTTGCAAATTTTCACAAGATTCGCTTCAAAGTTAAATGGAAACATAGCTTATGGCAGGGCAGTTCCAAATTGCAGTTTTTACCCCTCGGCCAAACTTTGGCCAGAGGGGTATTGTCATCACCTGCGTGTCTGTCTGTCTGTCGTCTGTCCATGACTTTGTCCGGGTCAGTACTCAGCAACTAATGATCACAGCTTCACCAAATTTGGTATGGTAACTCACTACAACCCATAGATGTGCAACGTCAGGTTTTTTGCTGGATTTGACCTTTGACTTTAGCGCTGTGACCTTCATCATGGAAATCTTGTCCGGTCAAGTACAAAGTAACTATTGGTCGTAGCTTCATCAAATTTGGTACGTTAACTCACTGTGACCCATAGATGTGCAACGTCAGGTTTTTGGCTGGATTTGACCTTTGTCCTTAGCGCTGTGACCTTGAAGCAGGAAATCTTGTCCAGACCACCACTCAGTAACTATTGATCATAGCTTCACCAAATTTGGTATGGTAACTTGCTGTGACCCATAGATGTGCAACGTCAGGTTTCTGGCTGGATTTGACCTTTGACCTTAGCGCTGTGACCTTGATGCAGGAAATCTTTTCCAGACCAGCACTCAGTAACTATTGATCATAGCTTCACCAAATTTGGTACGGTAACTCACTGTGACCCATAGATGTGCGATGCCAGGGTTTTGGCTGGATTTGACCTTTGACCTTAGCGTTGTGGTCTTCACCGTGAAAATCTTGTCCGGCCCAGTACTCAGTAACTATTGATGGCAGCTTCGTCAATTTTGGTATGGTAACTCTCTGTGACCCATAGATGTGCACAGGCCGAGGAGTATTCAGCAACGCGTTGTTTTAATTTGTATTCTTATTTTATACAGTACCAGCCAAAAGTTTGGACATACTCACATTTTTCTTACAATTCATAAGGAAACACTCCCTCATTATTTTGCAAAAAAAAGATCTAATTCTTAAATCCATCAAACTAACCTGCATTTATAGTCATTTAAACTTTCCAAAGATTTGCTGCGCTTGTGGTGTTCTTTTCTTCCACTTTTTTTCCCAATAAGTCCCAAAACAGCTTGACTTAAAATTTGCCCGTTGGAAATGGAAGGAGCTTGTATGTCTGTTTACTTTGTAAAAATATGGCTTCTTTGAGAATTTCAAAATTTTGGACACTATTCAAACAAGTAAATTATTCTCTTTTAACTTCAAACTGTTTAACTCTTACAAGACTCCATTTGAGATTATATAGAGAAGTTTGGCTGTTTAAATTTCTCTCAAAACAGAGTGCTCTGACATTAGCAAAATGTGTCCAAACTTTTTACTGGTACTGTATATTCTCTTTTTATATCAACAATTAAGTTTATCGATTAATTTAAAAAAAAACCAAGGATTCATGAATGATGTGATGCCCCTCCCAGCAATATGCCCCAGTGTACGCACACTGGTCATTAAATGTGTGACAGTTGATGCGTCCTGTCGCTAGAAATGCCTCCAAATAAGTATGCGCCCTGGCTACCTTGCCAACAAGCCTGGCTCTTTGGCAATGTGGTCAGCGCGTTTGACTCTTGAGCCGGAAGTCTGGGGTTCAATTCCCCATCTGGGCCCTCCTTTGGCCTGCCACATATGGATAATCCGGCCTTGGGTGGAACTCATTATGTCATTAATCTTAACCAGAGCCCATGGACCTCTTTAATTAAAACACCCCCAAAATATGACTGACCCACCATCATATTTCACCGTGGGTATGAGATGCTTCTCCTTGTATGCATCTTGGTTTCGACACCAAAAATGCTGATGCTGTATCAAACCAAAACGTCCAATTTTCATCTCATCTGACCAAAGCACCTTGTTCCAGTCCTAATTTAAATGAGGTTTTGCAAACTCCAAGCAATCTGTGTCTTCTGGTCAGAAAAGGCTTTCTTCTAGCAACCCTTCCAAAGAACCTGGGGTTGCAGAGGTGGAGCCTGATGGTGCTTGTTATAAGCTGGTGACCCCAAGATGCCACCAAGGCTGCCTGCAATACCTTCACAGTGATTCTTGGGGATTTTGTTGCATCTCTCACCATTCTCCTCAGTATCCTGGGGGGCTAAATGCAGTTGCGTCCTCTACCCTTTAGCTTTTCAACAGGTCCATATCTTCGGAATTTTATAATAATTGCCCTGACAGTGTTCAGGGGAATATTCAATTGTTTGCCTTTAGCAGATTTATGAAGATCCATGACCATCTTCCCCTTTTGAACTGACAATTATTTTGTTTTCTTCATAGTGTTGGATGACAAAGGGATATTGCATGTGTGTTACCTCATTTTTATACCCAAGTGAAACAGGAAGTGATATAATGGCTAAATATAGTTCCTTATCACTTCAATAAAACATAAACAAGTGGAATTTAATACCGGGTTTCATTTTGATAGATGTTATTTACTGTTACAGCCCCCTGCTCTGCATGCGTGTGATGTTCGTTTTCAGGTGCCTGGAAGGCGGAGCCAGGAGTCATTGGAAAAATGGAGAGCACCTGTGTCTCGTTCACAGAGCTAATAAAATGTACCCACTTCCCATCTTGGGGAGCTTTTGCCCTTTGACTTTTGCTGCGTGTTGGTTCTTTTTGGCTAGATTGCATACAACAGTTTCACCATTCTTTGCATGCATCCAATCACCTACATTACTGATGATACTGATTTTCGCACCCATATTTGCATTGTCTTTTTGTTAAATTTGGTTTTGTGAAATAAATTGAATTTTTTTCTTTTTTTTTTTGTTTTAGAAAAAATTTGGCATCTCCAATCCCACCCGAATCTGGAATATCCAGTTAGGGAACTATGTACAAGTACTTAGGCTTTTTCGCATATGCAGCCCCCTGTTGCCAACTCAGGAGAGTGAACACAGCTCGCGGCTGTCCTCCGAAGCACGTGCCCGTCAGCCACTGCTTCTTATACATTCACTGGTTGAGACTTCGCAAGCTCAGAACGAGGGCGGAGGATACCCGAACATAGGCGAGCTCAGATTCTGCCTTATGAGCGCCCGTCTGGTCAACAGGAGGCGCCTAGGGGAACACTAATCTACGTAACTTTTCCCAGCAGACCCTTCCCAATTTGCATCCCTGTAGCGCATTGGCCAATTGCGCGCTACTTCTGAAAAGAGCTGCTGACCACTGCTGGTTGGTACGAGGCGGGGATCGAACCCGCGCCGTGACGGTCACTTCTGCTTCGCAACGTGATGCTTTTTCCAAGTGAGCCATCTGGCAGCTCGAATTTTGCTTTTTAAATGCATCAGGGTGCATCTCTCTCCTTGTTACGGCTCTTGAGCTAAGTCGTTACATTTACAGACCAGTAAATGATTTTGGTTGGTTCCACTGGAACTTTAATATCGTACAGTATTTCTCACATATTGTTAATTAGAATTTCTGCATAAATATATTTTTTAGAATTTTTTAAAGTATTGTTTATGCATTGCCTGTCAGGGGTGCCAGCAATTTTGGAGCTGACTGTAGCTGCAAAGGTGGTGCCAACTCCAGAATAATCCCTATGATTTTAGAATAGGATATCAGATGAACAAGTGTCCACATTCATATATGAAGTGTACACTACCAGTCAGCACCCACATATTACAAGCAGCCAGAGATGGCAAATACTGCAAGAAATACTGCAAGCACCATAATTATATTGACAGATTTTGACTCTGTCAGCTGGGTCAATCAGCAGATCTGAATCCAATGGAACATGCATTTTAAAAATTGAAACACTGAAGGCAAAACGTCCCCAAAACAGGCTGGAACAGATAACTGCAGTACAGGCCAGGCAGAGCATAAGGACAGAAGATACTCAGCATCTGATGATGGCTATGCATCACAAACATCAGACAGTCATAGTATGCAAAGGATACACAACCAAATATGAAAATTTACTTTATTTTACATGATATTAAAAAGTAATTTTTTGATGTACCCAAAAAAGGCAGGCTTACTACGGACTTAAAGAGAGTCATTTCTAAAAGGTTTGTCTGATATGCATGAAAACACCTTCAAATTAAAGCTGGCAGACTGCACTTTAACCTCTTGGTCACTAGATCTTTTTAAGCTCAAATAATAGGTAAATAAAATCATCTATTCAATGAAGAAATCCAAATTTACAATATTTGCTAAGGTATGCTAAAAATCTCATAATCCACACCACTGCTGTAAAATCACTAAAATTACAGCTAATCAATCAATTTTGACTCCTTGTGAGTCTCTCTTTGAATGATTACTCCCACATGAAAAGCGGTTATGAAGACTATGAACGACACATTGATTGATTGAATGATGATTGATTGATTGATTGATTTGTTGTTGGGGAAGATGGCGCCAGTGTGCTCGGCTTGCCGTCTTCCAGCTCTACTGTGTTTTTTGCTTGCTATTGCGTTACTTCGTTTTCTCTGCCAAGATACTTCTGCTTTGCTGGTATATGATCGCCAAGCCCTTTTTTATATTAGAGCGTCTCAAGGAAAAGTGTTAAAACATGATTTGAGAGATCAAACCTCGGGTCTCCCTCCTCCCTTGGCGTCTGTACCGGCCTACCTGCTGCGCTCACCGGCTGCCATTTCACGGAGGAAGCGCTCCAAAAGACGAGGAAAGAGGGCAGGTGTCTTGGTGAAACTCAAGAATCTCCGGCGATCCACTTGTGGGATTGATCCTCACCATCTTTTCAGAAGACGTTATGCGTCTCAGCGACCTCCATGCATTCGCTGGATCCAGCCGGTTGTTCCCTTTCGCCCGGCCGCTGGCTGTCTTCACCTGCCGGCAGGGGTTCCCTCTCTGAGGCGCCGGGTCCGCAACTGCGGTGTGGATTTTAGGAATATTCGGCCCCTATGCCACGTCTCCACTCAGGCCCGCGAGGATAAGACTCTTCGCCTGGTGCTTCTGAATGCTAGATCACTAGCAAACAAGACTTTTATCCTGAATGACTTCTTCACTTCACGTGAACTGGATTTTCTGTTTCTGACGGAGACGTGGATTCAAGTCGGTGAGTCCACTCAGTTCTCTGAGCTGCTTCCTCCGAATTGCCAGTATTTCAACTCTCCCCGAATTACCGGCCGAGGTGGAGGGGTAGCGTCTGTCTTCAAATCCAGCTTCCAATGTCAACTGTTACCATCAGTTTCTTTTTCCAGCTTTGAAATGCAGACATTTATTATAAACCCTCACTCTCCCGTCCTGTGCGCCCTGGTCTATCGTCCGCCGCAGTTCAACAAGGATTTTATACAGGACTTTACAGACTTTGTGGCGGGATTAACAGTGAACTATGATCGGTTTTTAATTGTTGGGGATTTTAATATTCATGTCTGTTGTGAATCCCGCACCTTGGTAAAAGAGTTTCTGATTCTCATTGACTCCTTTAATCTTACTCAGTCAGTGTCTGGTCCAACACATAATAAGGGACACACACTAGACCTTGTGCTATCTTTTGGTCTGAAATTAAATGTCAGTGAGATATGTGACATGCATATTCCTGACCACTTCGCCGTTTTATTTTACGTTACGCTGCCTTACTCCCTTGATAAACCATGCGCCCCGGACCGTCGTGTGCACATGATTAACCCTTCAACTGTCTCTAGGTTTTCTGCTGCATTTAATCACTCTGTGCTACATACACAGGATCATTATTGTAACTTTAATTCTGATGAGTTGTTGGACGTCTTTAACCGTACTTGTATTCATATATTAGATTTGCTGGCTCCTTTTAAGTGTAAACGCTCTAAGCCAGCAACCGAACCATGGCTTAATGATACCACTCGTGCTTTAAGACGCATTTGTAGACGCGCTGAGATAAAGTGGAAGAAGGATAATCTTCAAGTTTCTTTAGACATTTTAAAAGATTGCCTATTGCAGTATCAGAAAGCCGTTAAGGCTGCGAAAACTCAGTTTTTATCTCATCTTGTGTCAGTTAATAGCCACAAACCTCAGTTTCTTTTTAGTACTTTGAATTCTCTTTTAAATCCTTGTGACCACACAGGTGCTGTACCTTCACCTAAACTGTGTGAACATTTTCTTAGGTTTTTTATTGACAAGATTTCTGCTATCAGGTCTTCTCTTGTGTCATCTCCATCAGACCTTGCTGTTTCCCCCATTTGCAGAGTTGTTTTTGAGAGTTTTGAGCAAGTGTCTCTCTCAGCTTTAACTGATATGGTCCAACACCTTAGGCCTTCTTACTGTCCTCCTGACAGCATTCCACCTCGTCTTTTTAAGGAAGTTTTCCATAGCATCGGGCCCTGTGTTATGGATCTGATAAATTCTTCTTTGATGTCTGGCTGTGTTCCAGCTGCCCTGAAACATGCTGTGGTCCAGCCCCTCATCAAAAAACATAACCTTGACCCTACTGTTTTGTCTAATTTTAGGCCCATCTCCAAGCTTCCTTTTCTCTCTAAGGTCTTGGAGAAGGTAGTATATGAACAGCTGCAGTCTTATATTGATCTGAATGGCATTTCTGAGAAATTCCAGTCTGGTTTCAAATCACGCCATAGTACAGAAACGGCACTTTTAAGAGTTTTAAATGACCTACTTTTAACTGTGGATTCTGGTAACTCTGCTGTCCTGGTCCTCCTGGACCTGACAGCCGCCTTTGATACAGTGGATCATAATATTCTCCTGTCGCGCTTAAATAAGTGTGTGGGCATTAGGGGCACTGTCCTCAAGTGGTTTGAGTCTTACCTCTCAGACAGGAGCTTCTCTGTCCAGCTTGGCCAGTATTCGTCAGCCACATCCCCCCTGAGCTGTGGGGTGCCTCAGGGTTCCATTTTGGGCCCCCTCCTCTTTTCACTGTATATGTTGCCTCTGGGGTCCATTTTTAGAAAGCACGATGTCTCATTTCATTGTTTTGCAGATGATGTACAAATTTATTTGCCCATGAAAACAAATGACCGAGCCTCAGTTCAAGTTTTACTAGACTGTTTTACAGATATTCGGTCTTGGATGGAAGTGAACTTTCTCTCTATGAACAAAAATAAAACAGAGATCATCTTATTTGGCCAACAAAACCTTTTAGATGGCTATGACAGTGCCATTCGCACCCTTGAGTCCTACTGTCATACTTTTGCAAGGAACCTTGGTGTAATTTTTGATAGGGACTTTAGGTTCGATAAGAAGATCAGCTCTGTAGTCAAAACAAGTTTCTTTCAGTTAAGACTCCTTGCAAAGGTTAAGGCTTATCTCCCAAGAAATGATTCCGAGAGAATTATACATGCCTTTGTTACATCACGTTTAGACTACTGTAACTCTTTGTTTGTTGGTCTTGATCAGTCATCTCTGCGCCGTTTGCAAGTAATTCAAAATGCAGCTGCCCGCCGGTTTACGGGAAAGAAATGGCGTGATCATATTACTCCTGTCCGTGCATCTCTGCACTGGCTTCCTGTTAATTGTAGGATCCAGTTTAAAGTTTTATTATTTGTTTTTAAATGTTTAAATGGCTTGGCGCCATCTTATTTATCAGAGCTTTTAAAGCCTCACACTACTAGCAGGGCTCTTAGGTCATCAAACCAGCTGCTTCTGACAGTACCTCGGTCTAGGCTCTGTACTCGAGGAGATAGAGCCTTTTCAGTGGTGGCCGCTAAGCTGTGGAACAGCCTACCCTATCAGGTTAGAGCTGCACAGTCACTTGAGCACTTTAAAACACTGCTGAAAACTCATCTCTTCTCATTGGCGTTCAGTCCCAGCTAGATAAGTAACCTTGGCTTTTATTTTCTTTGTTTTATTCTTTTACTTTTTACTTCATTTTATTCTTTTACCATAATCTTATTGATCCTTTTTACTGTTTTTATTTATTTATTTTATTTATTTTATATGTCTATGGTGATTATCTGTATCTTAATTCATGTACAGCACTTTGGTCAACTGAGGTTGTTTTAAATGTGCTATATAAATAAACTTTGATTGATTGATTGATTGACTACAGTCTCTGGCTAATTCATCGACAAAGGACAGCAGCTTTCACCTTGCAAATGATTCCTTTTAGAGTATGATGTACGTATTTATCAAGTATACTCAGTCAAAAAAGAAACTTCACACTCGTTTGGAGGTCGATAAGTTGAACATACAAGAAAAGTGGTTTTAAATAATGATTTAATTCCATTCTGTACCCATTAAGGACGGTGTACCATAAAAATCATGTTTATAATGTAACCAGTTCCACTGGAAATGCTACGGAAATGTAAGAGAGTAAAAATGGTGTTACAACTTGATGAAAGCATGTCAATAACGCGTATGCCCTCCATGAG